AAATATATTGTTATACGAAAGCTCTGTGTCTGTGGTCGCTGTGAGTATCCATGACGTCACAGTAGTATACCATAGACAAATTTAAATATCGGATTAAAACAAGGAGGGGGTAGGGCACAGAGAATAAAGAACAAAACACTGCCGAGATATACTACCCACCTGACTTTGCGGTAGTTTCCATGGAAATGTCTCGGTGTTTCACAAATGAATCACTACCACATTTTACTCGGAGAATAACTGCGAGGTGAGTCAATCATGGCTTCATAAATATGCAAGGCGTGATGAGAGTTGCAAAGCTGAACTCCTTGCGAATAATAAGTATTAACGCTCCTGTGTTCATACTAATGAATACGATTTCTTCAATGAACGCAACATTCAAATACGGTCGCTGCAAATATTTCGGATAAGTTAATTTTTTCCGTCTATTTATTGGTCGCTGGCATATATTCTGAAAACTCTGGAAGTCATTTTCTTTGACAAATGTAACTTTTTTTCATATTATTGATAAATACATTAAATGAAATTGCATAAAGACACGTTGTGGCGTTGTCCAAATTCAAAATCTTTTCACCTTTCAGGTTTACAAACATTGCACTTACAAACGAATGGTTGTAATGTTATCCGTCCATCGGTTATTGAGAACATAGTGGACTGAATGTAGTCCCCCGCAGCACCATCTCTTATGACATCTTCGACTTCTTTGATAATGAAGGCATTTGCTGACCAGTTCTGCCGAGTGAAAGATCTTCGGCAACGTCAAAGGGGCTACGTGGCGTCTGTGGGGAAACATTTCGACGGCGACCGGCAGCTGATCGCCGATCCAGGTCCTTTTCCTAAGAAGCAGAACACAAATGATATGAGTTTAAAGTAGAGAATGGAGGTATGGAGAATGGAGGTTTACATGGTAGTACAGTCAATTTTGGGCGGGAAGTTGGTCGCTATACGAAGTTGTAGGATAGGGAGGATGGCAGCAGTTGAAACACAACAATACACTGCCTCATTTGCATAGAGTTTAGTAAACGAGATACAAAAAGTATCTTAGACAATTATTTTCTTTCGTTTACTCCCATTTTCTTTGATGGGCACTCGTAGCGGTTACGTGCACTTGAGGGATTCGATTATTGTTATGAAATTGTACGAAGCAGAGCCAGGGTGAGAACAAATCGTCCCTTTGGACTGACAAGGTTCCAACTAACAAAATCGAAAAGAAAGATGATGTTAGTATGCCAAGGTTCTATCTGATTCTTGCTACAGGAAGAACATAGTCGTGCTGTAATCCGTGGATTAATTACTACTATAAAATCAATGCTGTAGGTGGAAGCGTATGTGAAAAGGCAGAGAGATGAAACTTTGCCATTAATTTACTCGAAGCGATTGAACTGTTAGTTGGAACTTAGACATTCCGAAAGGTCATAATTATTTTCATACATTCTATGTTTTTTGAATGCCCCCTTAGCACATTTAGGTCACCTGTAGGGTCTCCGGAGCGCAATTTTCCCTCCGTCTTTGTGCTTTGCTGAGGTCTTTCGTCGCGAGCCCCTCTGTAGAATGCGCGGCCGTTTTAAATACGTCGAACTTAATAATTGGCTGATTGATTGGTGATTTCAGGCGCATCAACTTCTAAGGTCGTTAGTCCCGTAAGTGTAGATCATGTTTTATAGCGGGAGGTGGCGGTGACCTTCCCGCTTGCTAGCGGGGTTTCCCCAACCAGGTATCTCCCACCAGCGGGGCACCGCCCCCTGCGGGTCAAGCTCTATGCTCCCGA